CGTATGATGGATCACTGTGTAGAGCTGGTAAATCCGGTTCGAATGAGTGTACAGTGACAACGCTGCGAGAAGATGGAGAGAGGATAGAGGGAAATAATCCAAATGAACCAGTAGCACGCACGTTACGCGTGTGTGAGGATGACCTTGAGTCCAGTAACTGGGTGCAATTTCGTTGTACATCTGCACTGACTGTCCATGCTACTTGCTTTCCAATGGAGATTCGTGCGGACGTGAACGAGAAGGGGAATTATTTTGTTACGTTGCACACATATTTGCATACTGGTTGCGGACTGTCTTGCGTTTGGTGTAGGATCTCGAAATCACAAAGACTGCTACTAAGGTGGCTAATTGGAGAGCTGGGATTTAAGACCTACTAGGTTAAAAGTAGTTGATTTAAGCGAAGAAACTACCTTAACAATCAACATTCGCAAGCTATCGCTTTGCCGTAAGGATAAATAGTGACCAATGCACAACTATACGAGAAGCGTTGTGACCAAACTGGAGGCCAGTCCATTAGAGCAACTGAGCACATTACAATGAAAATACAAACACAGAGCGAAGACACGTTGAGATAGACGAGTAATTACTGCTGTTTCGTGCTTACAAGGTTGGCACGTACACGGGTACCGAGTGAGTGAAGTGTCGTAACAAAGCTTGTTTCCGTTTGAAATTTGTGTAAGATGAGGAGGCAGGAAACATCAGGTATTTGTCACCGTAGTGTTGCATTTTTAAATTGAGAAAATAGATCACCTGCTTTGCTCTTTAACTGACATTAGGCAGCTAGCTGCCCTACTTTCCGGATCTAGGTTGAGTTATTGTTGGCAGTCCACCAGAGACGATTATTTCTCTCAACCAAAGTGAAAATTAACAAAATCAGAAGTAATAATTGTGATCTTGCGTCCATTCGCTACCTTTTCTCCTAACTGCAAGAAAATAAGGTATATAAACAGCACAAATGTTTCATAAGCACAGTTATTACCAATGGTTACATTAAAGTTGAGTTACAAACATCGCAGATTTGTTCAGCGTACTTTTCTGGATCCAAGCTTCTAAGTCTGTTTTCGCAACACTGCTCCAGTTCCGCATACTTCCCCACCTCGCCAGATCTAGAGAGTAGAAATATACCTATAGCATAAACACCTGATTACCGTAGCGTTTTCATAATTTTTTCCAGTTCTTTCACCTCGCTACACTGTTTTATATAAGTGAAATCCAAATGGGAGAGAGGAATATCGTGTGTTTTGGTTCTTTCATTACAGTATATGCTATCCGCCATCGGTATGCTAAAACGGAAACGATGAAAAACGTAAAGCAGGAAAAACAGTTTCAAGGGGATTGCAATCTAATTAAATTGTCGTTTGCCTTTTAATGGTTTAAGGAATTCCAGTCATGTGATGTGTAAACATTGAGTTTATCACTAACCACTAATGCTCGATCTGGCGCGGAGTGTTGGAATCTCATCACCAACTGATTCCGGTAGGCGGCACCCACATAGTGGCCGCTCTACTAGACTCGACATTACATCGATGAGTAGGGTGAGTGTTGATCAAGACGCGTGTAAGCCACGTGTTATCATCTTTCGTGCGTTCGCGCCAGGTGGATGATATTTGATTGCCTTAAGGAGGGTTTCGAAAGATGCATGCACGAAAACTATTTCCTTAAGGCTAATTTTGAAAGCGCTATGGATGCAATTATCTGAGAATTGGTGTAGACGTTACGGTACCCGATTTTATGAATGGTCATTTGATGAGAATACTGAGTTGTGTCCTCTCAGGAATTCACTGACCTGGGCCTTATAGGCACTCCCGTTCCTGTTTCTGTGACAAGAATCAAGATCACAACTGAGTGCAAAGTAGAGAATCCATTTTTGCGAAATATGATTTGGAAAGCTGATTTCTTCTGCAAGTAGAATTTACACGGAATGCTGACGGCTCTTGCATCAGAAGTTTAGACAGGATGTACACTTGAGCTGGGCAGCACATGAACGTCCATACTGCAGAACAATTGCAGCACGAGAAAAACTTTTCCTGATCTCTCACCTTAAATGTGCGTAGCGTTTGCGCAACGAAAACAATCCGCGTATTATCGCAGAGAATTGGCGACGCTTTTGTAAGAAGACAAACGAAAGTTACCCTAAAGAATTGCTGTTCATGAATTTACCACTTAAGGTCGATTCTGCTGCCAAACTAATATCTGGACGCTTGAAAAATGCTGCCAAAAGCTTTATTTCGTGGAGTACTTTGTAATTGTTCAGTACAATAATTTATTGCTTCCAAAACCCTTGAAACATGGACTGCGTTTGTTGATTCGTTCCACGCTGCTTTATTAGTATTCGTGCTTCTTGGTCCACGGTAGGCCTGTCTATCTCAAATGATTAGCTTCTATCTGCGGACTTGGTCCTACAAAGGTAACATTAGATCCACAACTAGCTCTATTAAGTCACCACTCTTTAATATTGGCCTCACAGCTTCTTAAAATGAGGTTAAGGCAATATACTTGTTCCCCAAACGCTTCATGAAAGGCTTCCGCAATCAGCTCCTGTTCATTGCCGAGGCTGTATACATCCGCCAATCGAAACCCGAATGTTGTGGGCAAAAGCAGTATGTATGTCCACTACTATTATCTTACCAAACGGACACTGCGCTCTAAGATAACTACTTTGTACTGTCCGAAATGATTTGGAAATTTGGTAGCTCGGGAGGCTTGCTCAGTTGTTGTGGAGTTCTCCGAGCTGGGCAACGTGGTTTCAGACGTTTCGCCACCATTCTAGGTGACATCTTTAGTGCGGGATTGATAGCAGTTAAGCAGCAGTAGCTGGTAGAAAGCAAACTCAATAATGGATACTGTCAGTAACCACTCCGTTCCTTATATAGGCATACGGAGCTATTAATTTCGTCTCGTTCTCATTGGCGAATCCTTGTGTTCAGCGGTAGTGCTCGAGTCATTGTCATTGGCTGCGGAAATGTTGTTTCGACGTGGTTGGGATTAGCGCACTCGGATTGGTGCAGCAGGTGTGGGTGCGTTGTCTGGGCTCATATTGACCATACTGTTCATTGCCCATGTGTTGGATTAGGTTCTTCTGGACAACGGTTGTTGATCCTCTTGAACTCTCTCTGTCTCAGCGATTGATATACTGGATCGAGATCGATATGCATGTGGATTGAATTCCGGGTTGAGGACCAGGCTTCCAGAAACTCCCTTGCTTTTTGTGTTTCACCTTCGGTCAAGATCTCTACCTTGTTCCAGTCGAACTTGTGTCCCTTTTCATCCACGTGTGCTGAAACCAATTAGGTTGCGTAATGGTTCTTGCACGCTCTTTGGTGTTCATGTATCCTGGTGGACAGCTTCCTTCCTGTTTGTCCCACATAGTGCATTTCCCAGTTTGCGCAGTTTATTCTATATACGACATTCCGTCGTTCTAGTGTCTCTCGCTTTCCTTTTGGTTTGGACAATGTTTTCCTCAGAGTGGCAGTTAGCTTGTGGGCTACCATGATATGATGTTGTTTGAACAATCTGGCAGTCATTTCAGACACGTTCTTTATGTATGGCAGCACTATACGTTTCGTCATAGCTGACGTAGGTTCGGTTTTTGAGGGCTTTCGATTTAAGCATCTTCGGAAGAAACTGCGTGGGTATCCGTTGCGGTCAAATGACTTGAATAAGTAATTTTCTTCTGCTCGTTTCGCTTCCGTCTTACTGCAGTGAGTTGCTATTCTATGGAACAGTGTCTGCACACAGCTTATTTTATGACATCTTGGGTGGTTGCTGTTGAAATTCAAAATCTGATCGGTGTGCGTGCTTTTTCTGTAAACTGAGGTTAGCAATTCGCCGTCCATTGTTCTGGCTACTAACACATCCAAGAAAGGAAGTTTGTTTTCCTTCTCTGATTCCATGGTAAACTGTATGCCGTCCATAGCGTTGTTAAGCAGTTGTTGTGCCACCGATACTTGACTACGTTTGAGTTTCACAAACGTATCATCAACGTAGCGAACCCAAAGTTTCGGATTAATCATTGGTAGTAGATCCTCTTCCGACTCTTGCATCAACAGTGATTGGATCAGAAACCTGTCAAAAGGGCCACTCAGTGGTACGGAACAACAAATTCGCATCAAAGGCCTAAATTATAACTACAAAGACGCAACAGCTACGGATTTTCTGGCACGATTTGAAAGCGCTTTGCAGTCCAACGGGCTAGACGACGAAACACAGAAACAAATCACACAGTTGTGCCCACCATGACGCATTTAAAGCAATGCAACCCTCTATCCCGACAAGAGAAAGAAGCAATAAAAGCTCTGGAGTCGGACGAATCAATTGTTATCCTACCTGCTGGTAAAGGACGGATGACAGTAAGTCTGGACAAAGCAGATTACGCCGAGAAAGCGGAGCAGCTCCTGAACGATACTACAACCGACCAATGCTTTGAGAAGGACCCAACGTCGCAACTAACCAACAAAATAAACAGAGTTTTGGTGAAGCTTAAGCAGTCAAACGAAATATCGGAAGAGGAACGAGAAAAAATGAGGGCTGGCGACTCTAACATTGCACAATTCTATGGAGTACCTAAAGAACGAAAGGATGGAGCACCCTTAAGACCAATTGTGTCACTTCCAGGCACGCCCACATGCTACCTGGCAAAGGAACTATGGAGGCGCCTCAAGCACCTAATCAGTAAATCGCAACACTCCATAAACAATGCTCAACAATTCTTGATAAAGTTCAAAGACCTACGAACAGAACACGATGAAACCATAGTTTCCTTCGATGTGACCGCCCTATTCACTTCCGTCAACTTACAGCTGGCCTAAGAAATCATCGCAGAACGTCTGGACAACATCGGAGGGAAGATTGGGAATATGACGACCAGAAGCTTATGCGAACTTCTCAACTTATGTCTCTCAACTTACTTCGCGTTCAACGTAAAAATGTATAAACAAGTGAAAGGTGCACCGATGGGATCACCTGTACCCGGACTCATCGCAGAGATTGTTATGCAAAAATTGGAAGAGGATCTACTACCAATGATTAATCCGAAACTTTGGGTTCGCTACGTTGATGATACGTTTGTGAAACTCAAACGTAGTCAAGTATCGGTGGCACAACAACTGCTTAACAACGCTATGGACGGCATACAGTTTACCATGGAATCAGAGAAGGAAAACAAACTTCCTTTCTTGGATGTGTTAGTAGCCAGAACAATGGACGGCGAATTGCTAACCTCAGTTTACAGAAAAAGCACGCACACCGATCAGATTTTGAATTTCAACAGCAACCACCCAAGATGTCATAAAATAAGCTGTGTGCAGACCCTGTTCCATAGAATAGCAACTCACTGCAGTAAGACGGAAGCGAAACGAGCAGAAGAAAATTACTCATTCAAGTCATTTGACCGCAACGGATACCCACGCAGTTTCTTCCGAAGATGCTTAAATCGAAAGCCCTCAAAAACCGAACCTACGTCAGCTATGACGAAACGTATAGTGCTGCCATACATAAAGAACGTGTCTGAAATGACTGCCAGATATATATATATATATATATATATATATATATATATATATATATATATATATATATAGTACACAATCTGTGGTACAGATATTGTGCCATCGGAATCATGGCTGAATAGGAAAACAATATGAATAATATGAAAAGAGCAACAACAAATGCTTTTTTGTATATTTTACCACTCACAGTTTTTGAAAGTTTGTTTTCAGTTTGTTCCTTTTTTAGGGGGAGGAAGAAGGGACACCGCAACAAACCGATGCACACGTCCGCCATTGACATCGATCTTGAACCATAACTTCCAAGATCTTCAACCAGCAAGTATTCTCATCTCTCGGACCCCAACCAGGTAGTCGACAACAACCGGCCGAGGCCAACTGTTTCGTCAACTTTTTCATGCGGCTTCTCCATGTTGTAGGCTGTCCACCAGACCGTCTCTCCTAGCCCTGTCCAGCAAGTGCAAACAACGCACGACGGGGGTAACGCTGGACAGGCATGCGCAATAGATGTCCCAACCACCGCAGTTGATGCAGTGAGATGAGCTCCTCGAGCGAGTGGCTTCCACGTCCCAAGACACGCTGTCTAACTTCCAAATTGCTTACCTGGTGCTGCCACCACACACGGGCAATGGACCGCAGACAGCGGTGCTGGAAGACGGATAGCCTGCGCAAGTCATCTTTAGGAATGGGCCAGGTCTAGCATCCGTACAACAGTACAGCACGAACAGTTGTACAATAGACCCGCCCTTTGATGGAGAGACGAATGTCGTAG